CACTGGAACAGGTTGCCCAGAGAAGCTGTGGATGCCCCATCCCTGGAAGTGTTCAAGGCCAGGCTGGATGAGGCTTTGAGCAACCTGGTCTAGTGGAAGGTGTCCCTGCCCATGGCAGGGGGGTTGGGACTAGAAGATCTTTAAGGTCCCTTCCAACCCAAACCGTTCTATGATTCTATTCAGCTAGTTCCTGGTCCAGGTTCTCCACTCTGGTGGTCGCTACTAAATTTTGTTTCACCGAGTGATCTGCTAAATTCCACTGAAACCCATCATCTTTCTAAGGTAGTAATACTTGCTTACTCCCAAAAGTAGCTCTATTTTTAGGTTATCAATTGTGCTGTTTTGTTGGTTTGTTTTTTTTTTTACTCGTTTATTTCAGCGGTTTGGCTCCAAGGGGCACAAAGTATTGGCCTAGAGATGGTTTTGAATTTGTGAGTTTAATGGATTACAGTTTTGACCCCTTCTGCAGCTCGCTTCCAGAGATTTTGAGTTGATAAGAAAGTGCTCCTTCCCTCTGGCCATGAATGGTTTTTTTTCTTCCTTCTTGTCTGAACATATATACCCATACATTTCTTCCGCTATAGGCTGTGACAGAGTACCTTTCATGTGAAAGCTTGCTAATGAAGTTGTACATCAGACCCCAACAAAAATGAAGGCCTCCACAGTGGAGTAATGGCATTTGGCTCCCTTTCAGACACGCAGTGCTGAAACTTCTGCCAAGTGTCACTGCATCATTAACTTTCAGTACAAGTTATCAGTCTATGAATGGAAGAACACAAATCACTTTCAGTGCACATTCACAGAGGAGCTGCAGATTTAACAGAGTAAGGGAGTGTAATTGGCAAATCAAACATACAGCGGGTCCGAGGTACTCTGGAATTTTTCACCAGACATCTAGGAAGTAAAACGCTTGATTGATTTCACTGAGGATTTTTAAGCATCAGAGTTGTGTGGTGGAACTAAAAAGCAAGTGCCTTATCAGGCTGTATGTGGTAGGTTTTGTCAGCGTTTCCATCTCTTCAGACCAGCTGTTAGCATTTTCAAGGTCAGCCCCAGGCATGGAAGATTTCCTCCTTAGGGAATGCGTGAAATGATAATTGGAATTTGCATCCTCTGATGAAACTCAGCATAGTTCTTAAATCAGTGATAAATGAGAAGGTGGTCTGCTTGCTGTGGATCCTACTCTTCTCCTCACCTCCCTCTACTCAGGCACGTCAGAAGTTTGCTCCTACTGCTCTTCCCCTTCTTTGGAGGCCTATGTGTGATGAGTTGGTGGCCTCGGGCTAATTCCCAGCGAACAGATGTCCACATCACAAACGCTGCCGCTACACCTGCTACTTACTTGCATCGTTGTTGGCAACTGTGCAAGAGAAGAAAAGGATTAAATGGATTTGTAGGCTGAAGAGCACAAGAGATTGCCTCCCCACTTTGAGGTTGATTTCACTAGTTAGGCACAGGTCTGATCATTAACGGATTTCATTTTCTAAGAACGGTGATTTGGTGCGTTTCAGAGATACTAAATTAAGATAACTACAACAACTCCTTGATGGATGATGTCTCTGTTCAGGTGCAAAACATGGAGTAGATTAATTTTGTCGGTTCCAACAGAACTTGGCTTCATTTTTTCTTGATTGTCCCCATATACAAGTCCACATACTTTTTATCTGGTTTACCCTTATTTAGAAAAATATTTGCTGACAACTTCACTTTAAGTGTCTGGTTGAAATTCTGGCCCTGTTTAAAGTCTTTACATTTTGACACTGACTTTTCTGGAGTTTTTACCCAGAAAGTATGGGGTTTGTATTTTTCTTCTGCATTTGTTATTCAGGCTTCTTAAAAGCTAAGCATTTGCTGGCATATCACCCATATCATTAACTTTTCCCTTTCAAGGGTGAACATTATCAGCAGGGAAAACATTAAATAATCTCCCTCCGCCTGGTGTGTTACAGATCCGAAATTCGGTTGCTTCAGTTGGTTTGCAGTTCGTGCTGGATTAAATTTCTGGTCAGTCTGAGGTTGAAGGAGGTTACATTTCCGAGCTTCTCTGTTCCAAACCCTCCTTGTCTAGATGAGTTACTAAATCAAACTGAAACTTCATACTGTCTCATTTCCCCTTTAATGATGTCTTTGCAAATTGATGAGCATGTTTTTCATGCTTACAAAACGTTGGCCAGTAATTGCTTACATCTTCTAAACTCTGAACTAGCTTGAGCTAAAATTTTCCTTCCAGTGGTTTACTGACTTGATCAAAAACCCTTCATTGCCCTCTTCTGGGAGTCTGAGAAAAGACACGGAGCCCGTGCACACGCTGGGGACAGACTGCAGTATGGCATGTGTGTGTTACTGTACGGCCTCATCCAAAGACGGATTTGGCTTGAGGTCTTCTTGGTATGCTGGGGGACGCCTGGTTTCGTTCTGCATGGCTGCAGTACAGCCACCACACAACAGGGCATTGTCACGTCACGGGGCCGGGCGCTCGGCAAAGACGCTGCTTTGCACTTGGAGCCTCCAGCAAAGCCGTCGAGGCTGGCAGAAGTTGTTTCACTGCCGTGGCGCAGCTTGGTTAAATAATGATTCCCATAGGAAGGCTTCAAAGAATTGCACGAGGTCTGGTAGTTTCTATTAGCTCCATTTACACAGGCAGAAGAAAAGGCAGTGAAGGGGTGATGTTGTCTCATCAAAGATCCCACAGTGAACTGTTGGCGCTGAGTTGGAATCCATTATGGAAAACTGGTTCAATGAACATAAAGACCAAGAACAAATGATTTACTTATTTTTTTTTTTTAGTGGGTTGTTTGTGAAGTCCATGTTCTGGTAAAATAAGTCTCTCCAGCTAGCTTTTGAGGAAGGGAGTATACACTGGTGGGAAAGCACACAGAGGGGAGGGGGTATCAGGACAAAGAGGCTGTGGTCTCTAGTCATCTGTGATTTTGCTTCATAGGGTCTGGGCAAGCTTTCTTCATCTTGCCTTTAAAAAAATCTCTACTCCTCTCTTCCACACAGTGGCTTCCGAAAGTTTAACGAATGCGTATTTATAACACATTTTCAGGTAAAAACAAATAGGCTGAAAACTGCTATACAGCTAAACAAATACAGCATCACAGTGCTACAGTTTCTGAAGCGGCCAAAATACAGTTCTGCAAATAGAAAGGGGGAAAATATGTGGGGAAAAGTGTTTTTCTGAGGGATCCCTTGACTTCTTTGCCTCAACCATAGGTTTCTGTCTGTATGTGTTTTTCTGCGCTGGTCGCAAAGGCATGTTTAAGAGGGGAACTCAGTTACTGTGGTCAGACCAGTGGGTTCAGTTTTTGTTTCTAGCTTGCTGTGTTGGGAAGAAAAGGGAAGAGAAAACAGCTCATGATACATTGTTTGGAAACTATAATTTACTGTAATCAGACAGCTCCCATGAAATGTGAGAAGCCTGCATCAATAAGTCCATTTCTCTTTTTTGTCCTAGGCTCTCCATTCATAAATCAAGTTCAGAAGAAGGCTCTGTAGGTCAGTAAATTTCATTTTATTTGATACTCCTATGGAATTCTTAAACAGGTTTTGAGTTTTGCTGGTGCTGGGATGGGAAGAGCTGAGTAAACACAATACTGGCAGAAGTCAGTGGCATTTGGGGGGAGGCGGGGAGGCGAGTCTTAGCAGCTTTAAAAGTTAGATGCTTGGTGTGTCAGTGATTACTGAGGCTGCCTAGCCAGCATTGTCATGTGATAAATATGCATCTTTTGACTTGTTATATTGAATTTCAAATGCGTGCATGTTAGATTGCTGTTAGCCTATCCATTTGTATTGTGACAATTACCACCACCAGTGAATAACTAGGGTTTCTGTTACTTTTGTTCATGTCACAACAGAGTCTCTTCCTTTGTTTCTGAAATATTTTGCATTTTTAAATATGCATTCTTTAACTTTCTATGATTAGTTCATATTGCTATCCTAATTCATTAGCTGAGCTGATGCAATTCTGGTCAAATTTTATCTTGCTCATTGGAGAAGAAAAGAAAAACTGGGAGAGTTTTTTGTTTGCTCCTTTTAAATTTTTTTTTTCAAGGGACATTTCCACCCAGTCTAAACTTAAACTGTGCTTCTGAGAGTCAGTAAGCCCAGCTCTAGGGCTTCTAGGGCGAGATCCAAAATACGATAGTCACGTGCTGAAACTCAGTGGCACAGTGTGAACTGTGTTCCTTTGAATTTTTCAAAAGCAGAGAGATGAAGTAGCTTGTTTCTGCCAGATCAGGCACAGTATGTTCTCTTACAGATGGCATAAACTTTATAGAGTGTGCCCTGGTTAATTCAACAGAACACAGTTATACGCCCTACCTTGAGCCAGATCCCGTTTCTTTTCTAGAATGAATTACTTACCTCTGGGTCATCAAGCCATATGCTGCTCTGATATCAGGGGACGTGGAGACGTGGCCTTGTACAGTCTAGGCATACAGAGAGCAAGACTCAGGCATAGCTGGTGCTCTAGTAACACTTCTCATGCCAAGTAGCAGAATGCACGCGTGTGTTTGTGCATGTGTGTGCGTGCATTTATATATATGTAAAGTCTTTCTTTCCTGTGTAGATATGCACATACATATTAGAAAATTACTTATCGGAGTTGTGGCTTAGGCTACATAATTGTGGTTTAGTTATAGAGAATAAATCAACAAAATGCTTCAAAAACACTTCCAGACTTGACATTAACAATTTAACAGATATCAAAATGAATGTAAAATATTTTCTGTTTATGACTCGAAATATGTAAGTTACTGGCTTATGTCAGTCCTCTATACCATTGGCAATTATAAAACAATGTCTGTTTCCCTGAAACAAATGCATGAGCATAGTTCTACAGAATAAATCAAGAAAACCAGAAAATGTTATATTCTTTCATTCTTATTTTTGACTAGAAAATACAACTTAATGCTTGAAAGCTTCTCTAGCACTTACTAACTGATGTTTGAAATTCTTTTTCCCTTTCCCCTCATCCTCCCTCACCACTTTCCTTTTAGGGAAAGCAGACTGGAAAAAGAAAAATAAGTTCTTTTGGCAGAATTTCCGAAAGAACCAGAAAGGACTAATGAGGCAGACGTCAAAAGGTAAATATTTTTTAATGGCACAACCTATCTGTATAACGTAGAAGGAGTCAGCATCACAAAGGACTAAATTAATTTGCAGCAGTGTGGCAGCTGGAAGTCTGTGGATCTGGAAGTTTCACATGTTTGGTTTGTCGTGACAGGGATCAGACAGAGTCCTGTTCTGTGAGACTGCAGAGGGGAGGCCAGGACTCCTTCGGTCCTGACTGTCAGGGATGAAACACGCATGCAGAGTGATGCGGTTAATACGTTTTTCTAAGTAATATCTGTAAATGAACAAGATGTTTGGGTTTGTTTTTTTTTCTGATCCTGACTTGATGAGACAAATTATCTGCTTTGTTTTAATTAGATGTTTCTCCTTTGGCATTTGATTTCATTGACCTGTTTGCTTTAGGCTTGAATCCTACCTCTCATTGTGGGAGAAGACATTACAAGAAGGAGCAATAAAAGTGCGTCTAGTGTCTAGTGCAAATGTAGGATCGATTCCACTTAAACTGTCGGGTATCTTTCTCTAGTTCTTCTCCAAAAGACACAGCTGTGCGTTGCTTCAAGTATTGCTCTTCACGCAGAAAGTTTCTGTTTCCCCATGTGTACCTGTTAGAACCTTGTGTTGCAAACAGATGCTTCTCCACGTCGCTGTGTCTCTGTTCAGACAGATTGTCAAAGATGACAAAACCTCACTTAGGAGGTCAAAAAGGGGCACATTTAGACTCTCAGTTAAGCGTGGGTCCTTGCTGCCTTCAAGGCAAGTTCTGACCGTCCGAGCTGACGTGCCAAGCACACGCTGAAAGGAGAGGTCCTGGAGTTGTGAGCCCCCAGTACATCCAGCGCCACGTGCCAGCTCAGTGGCTGATCAGATAGCCTGGATAGATGGGGGGACGTGGCCAGTCCGCAGCCAAGAGCTGCAAGGGCCCAGCACGCCGTTCTTGAAAAGGCTTCCCATCCGCTCTGGCAGCTGACCACAGTATTCCTCAGGGCTGAGTGCAGGACTTTTCTGGCATTAGCACTTTCTCTTTTGATTCTTTCAGGGTCAATAACTGTGTGATGACAGTCACTTTTTATTTCTTCTTGTCACGCTCTCTTGCTTTCAGTGTCAGAGTAGACTTCATTTTCTAGCCCTAATTTACTCCCTTTCCTTGTTCAGTTACTTCCAATTCATTCAGTCCTTTGAGATCATACTATGAGCCTGCTGTGGGGAGGGTCTGTTTCTGGCCAGCCAGATCCACGTGGTGACCAGATTTCAGAGCACTGGATAAAATCCGGCGTACTCTGCTCCGTACATGACCTCTTACACATGCTTGTTATCTCTGTGTTTTTTCCTGCAGGAGAGGATGTAGGGTACGTGGCCAGTGAGATCACGATGAGTGACGAGGAACGGATCCAGCTGATGATGATGGTCAAAGAGAAGATGATCACCATTGAGGAAGCACTTGCTAGGGTATGATACGTGCATACTTCAGTTCCCTTGAGAAACATGTTTCAGGATGTAGCATATGCCAATTTAAAGTTTTGGCCGGAAAACATAGGCGAAGGGGGAGAAAGCCTGCCTGTTTGTCCCATTGAGCATCAATTAGCAATTCCTTTGTTTAGGGGGAAAAGTGAGGTTTAGCTCAACCAAAAATACATGTCCAGTGCATGGTAAATTAGTCAAGTCCTAAAAGGATTTGCTGCTTTCTGTTGGCATTAAAGAGTGCTAGTCAGAGCTCAAGTGCAGACATTTTCATTGCAGCTGTTTGAGGTAAGGGAGAGGAATCTCCCTTGTACTAGCCCTTGTTTATCGTGTATGTTCGTAGGTTGGGTTAAGTACTGAAAGGAATGCTGCAAGTTTTGCTACGCTTGCCTTATTTGTTTCACAACACACATATTTCTTACTATTTTTTGCTGCTAATGTCTGAAGGGCAGTTTGATTGAAGGCTTCCATTTTCAGCAAGTAGAATACTAACTTTTAAGTTAAAACTTCTGCTTGCTTCATAGCCAAATAGGTGATGTTTTGTTTCAATAGCCTTCAAGAAAATATTCAGTCATTTTTGGCATTTGATATTGATATCAACACAGATGTATTTTCTGATAACTACGGTGACTGTCACGTGTTTCTTTACAAAATCTAGATGTTCATAAACCACAAGAAAAATAAATATAAGATACTGTGTTTGTGCAGCAACAGGGCTGAGATTTTAATTGCTCAGCAGCCAAAAGGTCAGTGTTAAAGTTTCCACTTCACTTTTGATTTTGTACCCTTTTGCAAAGTACTGTGATGGAACACAGGGTATTCTGTATGGGCTCCATTAGAGGTGCAGAACACATGGTTTAGGTCATGAATTGGCACTCAGTGACATACTACATCTTGAAATAGATTATCCTAGAATATAAAGTTATGTTATTGTAGGAACAAAATACTGCTTTGCTAGTAATCATATAATATGAAAAAGAAGGCAAAATTTTAAAATTACTGTGTGGTAATATTGAGAATTCTATTACTTCTGTGCTGTTAAAAACTGGGCATGGCGGGGAGGGCTGTACCTGATCTGTATGGTTCATATATGTGCTGGTGCTGTTTCCCTCTAGTGGTCTGAGCTACTAGCAGCAACATTTTTTTTTATATCATCAGTTCTTTATGATCCTTTCAATAGTTTCACTCCAATAGGATTGGGTTTATGTTTTCAGCCTTTTATTGTAAAGCAGAAAAAATGGTCTTTTTTATTTTTTAAATTGTAAAAGATGGCTCCTGGTCTTTACTGTGGATCATTTTCTTTATGAAGGAAATTGGCAGGCTATTGTGATTTCGTCTGTCCGCTGTGAACTGTGCCTCTGAGATGGGGATGTGGAATTTATATTTTACTAATGACCATTCATCAAAATTCAGTACTTACAGATCACTTTCTTTTAAGAAAAATAAATTTCATCACTAAAACTTCTGATCCTAAAGCAAATCAATTTATTTTGAACAAGTGGGACATGCAGTGCAGAAGTTCTGATTTTCCCAGTTCCAAAATGATATGGGGGGGAAAACACCTGAAAGGACATTAACTCTTGCTAGTTTAATGAAGACTGATAGCTGCTTCTCACTGGAAGATGCTCTCTCTGTCTTCTCAAATTGCAGCTGAAGGAGTACGAAGCCCAGCACAGGCAATCGAGCACTGCAGACGCTACGGAATGGCCTGATGTTTCTTACTCAACCTTTGATGGGTCTTCCAACTGTAATGTAAGTACCTGTCATTCTGATATAGCTCCCCAGTATCATTTAATATTTAAATTCTTTTATTGCAGTGCAGAAATATCCTGATTTACTGGGTGATTTCCTTAATAGCAAATGTATCATTTGACCCTGTGATGCTCTGTTCTATCTGCAGAAAATCTTTAACGTGGATTTTAAATCTTCAAGGTCTGTTGTCGTAGATTGTGATGGTCTTATTGTAGAATATCTGGTTTTGGGTGGGTTGTTTTGGTTTTTTTTTTAACCTGGTGCTTTTGAAGCACAAGTGATCCAGGCAAAAATGCCTGTATTCCAAAATGCACAGAAAAAGTTTTTTAAGTGGTTTAGAGGGAGCTGTTTCACTTTTCTGATTCACAGTATCTGACAAGTAGAATTTCTCAGACCTATCTAACCCTTGTTCATACATTCTAGATGAAGGTCTGGCAAAGTTCTAGCTGCCTGCTGCTTTCAGACAGTTCTGGCTCTGCATTTTTTTACTCTCAGCCCAGAGAGTTTGCAGCTTTTGCCAGACCCATAAGCAGTCAGGCAGCTTTCCTCCCTCATTTTTACTTCTGAGCTTTGTAGCTTCTGTTGTTTTTATGGGCACCAGACAGTCTTTGTGTCATGTCATACTGAATTAATTATTTTTTCCTTCCAAATATCTTCATTTTCACTGAGTAGTTTATTCCACTTCATTTCTCTAATTGAAAGTTCACAGATAAATCTTAGAGAAGAACACATTCGGCTGTCAAATCTGGGCTCTTTGTAACCCATATAATTGAATCATAGGCTTTTGAGACCATTGATTGATTTATTTATTTTATTGTCAATGGAATTTCCTGCTAACTGCAGCAGGCAGTTAGCCTCTCCTCCTTAAATGCAAAGAGGAATGCTATGTCATTTTATGAGATGTTTAAAATATTTTGTGGTGGAGAAAGTTTTCTTGTTTGCATTTAAAAAAATATGCCCATCTTTAGTTAGATGGGAGCAGAGGGACACTGATTTTGCCTTACACTGTGTTCTGATGTATCAGAAATGTGCAGAGAAAAGAGAAGGAAGGATCTTGACTCTTCGGCACTGATTGTTTAGCTGGCTGAAGGATGTCTTGTTCTTTTCCTCATTGCTATTTATAGCCTGAACTTTCCCCTCTTAAGGCCTTTGGCTATGGTACCTGTGGCATAAAAGTCTCAAAACTCTCATTGACCATGGTCAAATCTCAGAAGTATACTGAATTTCTCTCTTAAATCTTCTGATCATGGTTTATGCTTGTGTTGAAGTTACTGAAAGCTGTAATTCCTGAGGTCCGAACGTGACTCAGTATTTGCTCCCTAATGGAACGACTTGGCACCTTTTCCCTAAAATTTTTTTCCTAAGCCATCTTTGGCACTTTAAGACAAGAGCTCTGTTGCCTCTCGCTGCTGTTCTGGTAGGATTTGAACCATCCTCCTTCTAACTTCGATGGAAGATCTATCTTCCATCGTTGTAGATGCCTCTCAAGATTTTTGCCCTTGCTCTTAATTTTTATCGTGGTTACATTTAACAGAAGCTGTGAAACTGCTTGTCTTCAAGGGAAAATCAGATCATCTGCAGAAATGAAACTTCATGTCAGAACAAAAGTCAGCTTGGTTTCTTGGTTTTTTTTGTGGACAAGAAAGAAACCAGGGTTAACTGGGGTGAAAAACCTTGGGCTGTAATTGTCACGCGAGAGTGAAAAACAAGCAGTGCAGAATACCAGCTATGTCCAGAGATAGGGCGTGTGTTCACCAAGGCTGTTTAGCCCAAGGGCATCTCTGCTAATGTGAAATGACCAGCTTTTGCGACGTGCAAAGATGGTTCTGTTTTCAAGCCCTTTCTTTGCCAAATGGTTTGACTTTCAGTGCTGTTTGTGTGATTTGTACTCATCTTAAAACTCCCACACTCATTTTGTAAAAGCCATGAAGCGAAGATGTTTTTCCATATATTAAAAGTATTTTGTTAGATAGCCCACTGCCTTCTGACCTCAGAAAGTAATTGAAAATGTGAGTCACTGAAATTGAAGTTTCTGGATTGAATTAAAACTCCTTGGGCAATGGCTCTTCTGGATCTGTTAGCATTTTTTCTGATTTTTTTTTTTTTTAGCTTCATGGCCAAATTGTTACTAGGCAGTTTCTAATGGAACATTGTCATCATATTTGATAATTTTGTAAACATTTGTACACACGAATGATAAAAACAAATTGCAGGATAACTGCAAGTTGAGGGAATTTAGGAAAGTAATAATTTGTATTTTACTTGCTATGCATTTGTTTGGTAGCCTTGGGGATTTAAGAGATGTCAAGACACTAGTGTAATGGCTTTTTTTTTTTTTTTCCCCTTCAAGTTTTATCTTCCCCGGCCGAGAGACCTGCTTTTAGTTAGGAGGACCTGGGAGGATGGGTCACTAGGTTTTTGTGAAGAAACTTGGTCTAGCTTTGCCCAATAACTACATTTCAGGAAGGGGCAGGGGGAGGGGGGAAAGGTAGAATCTAACCATTTGGAGAATGTAGAAATCCTGAGAGGCAGAATGGTCTGGAGTGTTCTAGGGGTTTAAGTACTCCATACTTCAAAGTCAGGTCTGCCCACAACATAAGAACAGCCACCTACAAAATAACATCTAAAGGGCAAATATCATTAGTTGTTGTTGTTTTCCTCTTTAGGAAGAAATAAAAGAAAAAAAAAGGACCACTTTTTTTTAAGCTTGTGTAACTATCATGTGTTTATGATTAACACCACTGTTTTGATCCTAAACTCAATTTAGAGATAGATTTAAGAATTCTTTTTCCTAGCTCCCTCCTCTTTTAAATTACTGTAGCAGGAAATGGAAACTTGCACATCATACCGTTACAAAACTAAACCCTAGAGATGAACCACACAGCGTTGAAGGGTTGTGTCTCAGCATCTGAACGGAGGCAGCCCAGTGTCATTGCTGTGCTTTTCATTGTATGTCCTGTTTGTTTACTCTTAAGAAACAAACAAACAAAGGCCTTGCCACGGCAGAAGGTGGCTTGGTTCTCTGCTGCCTGAGAGCAGTTTGTGTCACTACTGTCGTCCCTTTGTTTCACAACAAAGTGTATGTGTTATTTATTTGCTAATGTGGGAATACAGTGGAAACTGTTTTTCTTTTTAGTCAGATGTATCGAAAGTCTAAAATGCCTCATCATTTTTTACAAATTTATTTCTGAATATTTATGTCTGGTCTCTGCTGGAATGAAGGCTGCTCACAGTAACTCTAGACAGGCTTTCATTGCTTTGTGCCAAGTGTTGGGATGTAAAGCAGGTGCAGATTACAAATGGATCCCTTTCTGGATTTTAGATAAGGGTTTTTAGTCAGATGTATCGAAAGTCTAAAATGCCTCATCATTTTTTACAAATTTATTTCTGAATATTTATGTCTGGTCTCTGCTGGAATGAAGGCTGCTCACAGTAACTCTAGACAGGCTTTCATTGCTTTGTGCCAAGTGTTGGGATGTAAAGCAGGTGCAGATTACAAATGGATCCCTTTCTGGATTTTAGATAAGGGCC